GGAAGGAGTCTAGTCTGTGAAAGCAACTTATTGGAACATCTTGAGGGTGAGATATAGGCTGTAATCAGTTTCTTAATGTATTAGGCTTAGACTTGCGTGTTTTTGCTTTATTTTGCCTGGTAACTTACTTTATTCTGTCTGTTATTACTTGAAACCACTTAAATCCTACTTTTTATACTTAATAAAATCACTTTTGTTTATTAATAAACCCAGAATGTGATTAATACCTGGGGGAGCAAACAGCTGTGCATATCTCTCTATCAGTGTTATAGAGGGCGGACAATTTATGAGTTTCCCCTGTATAAGATTTATACGGAGTAAAACAGATTTATTTGGGGTTTGGATCCCATTGGGAACTGGGTGATGGAGATAGGTAACCTGCTGAGCTGTTTTCAGTTACATCTGCAGCTTTGGGGGCATGGACCAGACCCCGGGTCTGTGTTGCAGCAGGCTAGCATGTCTGGCTCAACAAGGCAGGGTTCTGGAAGTCCTAAGCTGGCAGGGAAAACGGGCTCAGGGGTAGTTTCAGCAGATCAGGTGATAGTCCCAAGGGGATCTCTGTGATCAAACCCGTCACATACGCTTTTTGCCATACAACATACTATTTGAATTTCAATCATCAACAATGCCACCATGGATGCTCCAGTAGTCTGCTTCATTCAAGAGTGGAAATGTAAAAAAATCAACAGTCATGCCTTTGGGAAAAGTGGTAGCTTGTATGTGTTGTCAGCCTAAAGCCTTAGAATGAAGGTTCAACTCTGAACTTCAACCTATTTGCTAGACTTGAATGCACTGCATTAGGGCCCATAAATACATGCACATATTTCAGACAAAAGACATTTCCCCCATCCGTCCACTTCATGCACTCAAGATTGGAGGATCAAATTTGGCCCTTAGTTTTGAAGTGATAAAATTTCTTGGGTATTCCAGAATACAGACAATCATGCAATACTGTAATTATTGACCATTTAAATGAATAGCAAAATACTGTACACGTCTACATAATCAAGTGATAATTATGTTCTTTTATTTGTCTTCTAAATGAAAGAATCGTCAAGAGCCTGAAACAGGAAATTACATTTTTACTTATCTGGTTCCATCAAATTTGTTAAATTACACATTAATCATGCAGAAACATTAAATTATATCCAGTATGCATTGGGAAAACAACAGCGGTTATACTGGTTATTTTATATATGCAAGAGTGAATTCTTCAGTAAAGTCCTTGCCAGTTTACGGACCAGATTTTCATCCGGTGTAAATCAGTGCCTCTTCACTGACTTCAGCTACACCATTTTATAACTGCTGAGGTTCTTGTCCTGGATTCATATCTGGAACCAAATTATCCCAACTCAAAATAGCAGTGGTGCAGGCCCACTCACCTGGCTATTCTTCCCCATCCTCAACGGATAACTATTTGCCATCAAAATAACACTTCTCCCTTCCTCCACCTCAATCCAGTGTCCTGACTTCCCCTATATTCTACTCTAATTCATACCCTTTTATTCTTTGGTGAGGAGATTTCCCTCCCCCCCCCCCCCCCCCCAGTCTGAGCTGTTGCACCATCATGCAGCAATTCTTCGTGCTTCCCTTAATCAGTAAGCATTGCTCACCCAATGGAATTGCATGAGTCATAAAATCAGAGTTCAAGGGTGCCAGAGAAACGTGACTTAGGAGAGACAGGAAATGAACATAAGGGGTTAATATTTTGCTGTTCCCAAGAGAAGGCAAAAATCTTAGCTAATCTAGAAGAAAGAAAGACAATTTCCTGTGGATCTCATGGCCAGGGGATGTTGTAAAGGCCAAAACTATAACTGGATTCAAAAAAGATTTAGATAAATTCATGGAGGATAGGTCCATCAATAGCTCTTAGCCAAGATGGTCAGGGATGTAACCCCATGCTCTGAGTGTCCCTAGGTCTCTGGCAGCCAGAAACTGGGACTGGACAACTGGGGCTGGATCACTTGATAACTGCCCTGTTCTGATCACTCCCTCTGAAGCATCTGGCATTGGCCACTGTTGGAAGACAGGATACTGCGCTAGATGAACCATTTGTCTGACCCAATATGGCCATTCTGATGTTCTGTTAACTCAGTAGGGAAAGAAGGCAAAAGGATAATATTGGGAAAATGCTTTTTTCCCCCAAGATACCTTGATGGTGTGCTAAGCTTGAATTAATAAGGGATTTAGCAATAGGAGGGAGCTAAAACAGCACTGAGCATGTACTGTATTGCTTATTTAAGCCCATCTAAGGAATTCAGGTTTGATGCAGACAGTGAGGCTGAGCTTCAAATCATTGTGGATTTTTTTTTTAAAAGAAATATTGTATCCTGCCTTGGTTTTCTTGCTTTTTTTCTCTCTCTCAATAGAAAGCAATATCCTTCAAATCTACACATTACAAGGGATGGGTGCACAACCAAGCATGCAGTGTGGGTGAAATTCACCCCTTTGTGGAGAGCCAGCACAAGGTCAGTGGATCACATAAAGAGAACTAGGCAAAATTGTTTTCAGATTAATTGTCTGTTCAATGGAAAATGCAGTTTTGGTCAATCTGCAGATTTGACATGTATGGTATGAGCAACAAAGCAACCAGCAGTAGCACTGGTGTTGGTGGGAGCAAAGGCAGTTAAGGTTCTGCTGTCCCTTTCCTTCATTTAATTTTCTAGGAGGGCATTCACCTGGGATGTGGGAAACCCAGTTTTGAATCCCCACTCCGGAGCAGAGCTGAAATGGACTCTTCTGATTCACTGAAAATTCTGGAAATTTTCAGATTTGGTTCAATCCAAACCTAATTCTTTGTATTATTATTTTTGGAATTGCCACCTAACTGAAAAATCAGTTACTCACCCAGCTCTGCAAAAATCCCTGTTTTGATGGAGAGCATATGTGGGAATGAAGTGGTGACATAGTGCTGGCCTTCTGCACAGGAAAGAATTTCAATAGGAAAAGACAGGCTAGAAACTGTATTTATAAAAACTGCTGACACATTAAACGAAATCTCTAACTGCACAAGAACTCATGAAATACATTAGCCTGCTCTCAACATTCAAAGCTCTGAACTGAGAAGTGCATGCAACGTCTAATATCAGTACATGACACGCAGAGTACAAAAGATGCTGAGTTGTGTTAATAAATTACTACAAAGTTAAGATGTCTTGTTTGCTATAGATCTGAGTTTTCATCAAGAATTCACGTAGCTGAGCTCCATGTGTTACACTTGAAGCATCCCAATCATCTTATATAATGTTGAGTAATAAAATATATTAAGGCAGCCAAGATAGATACCTGCAAACACAAAAACTCTCTTCATAAAGTCCAGAGTTCACAAGTCTTTAAAAACAAACAAACAGTTTGTGGTGTTCAGGAAATGTCAATATGACTCTCCAAAGTCATATTTACAATCTTAAATCCACAGTGTTCTAGTTATTTTGAAAACCAGATGACTGGCAGACACTTGAGGGTAGTGAGAGGACTCTAATGAACGCCAAAATATAGGAAAGGAAAAGAATGTAGTTGAAATTCTTTTAGATTTATGCCATCTATATGTAATCTTTTCATTCATCGTTTAAGACTTAAGTCCAGGATATGACTGAACTTTGTGTTGCTTAGCTAGTACATAGTTCCCATTAAATACATTTAGTCAGATTTCAGGGTAAATTTTCAAACATTCTTAAGTGACTTAGGTCCAGATCCTCAAAAGTATTAGGCATCTAACTCCCACCAATTTCAATGGTAGTTAGGTCCTAAATACCTCTGAATATCTGGTCTTTAGGAGCCTAAGGGCTTGTCTACCACAGGGAGTTATTCCAATACAGCTATTCCTAATTAATTATTCCTGATTAACTCCATGTATGGAAGCTCTCATTCTGGAATAAGAAAGAAATTCCAAACATGGTGTTAAATCAGGAACAATTCACTTTAAATTCTCACTTACCCTATTCCAGATTAACTTTCAACCCTAAATCTTGCTGAAAGTCAATGGGACTGAGACTGCTAGAGTATGTCTACACTGCAATTAAACACCCACAGCTGGCCCATGTCAGCTGATTTGGGCTCAAGGGGCTTGGGCTAAAGGGCTGTTTAATTGTGGTGTAGATGTTTGGGCTCCAGCCCGAGCCCAAACCTGAAAGTCTACATTACAGTTGAACAGCCCCTTAGCTGATATGGGCCAGCCATTGGGTTTTAATTGCAGTGTAGACATAAATCTATGTGCTTAAGTCACTTATGAAAATGGCACTGAAGTGCTTTTGAAAATTTTACGCTTTGTGATCTGTGGTAATGAAATTTAAATATACAACATAAAAAAAGTATATGCTTTTTATCAGCTCTACAGTATCATGAAAACTACATTTTAACCGATTGTGTGCCTTATCCTACACCCTGTTACTCCAGTTGAAGAAAGCTAGTGTAACGGAGCAGAGAATCAAGTTGTCTGTCTAAGTTGGTCTATCCCTTATGTCCATATTCCTAAAAGATTAGTCAGATGTAGAGATGGACCCAAAGATTAGGGGGTTTCAGATCTGGAATTTTGGTTCAGGCCATCTCCCATCAGAATACTTTTGTCTCAATGAAGCTCAGTCTTACAAAACACTGAGCACTCTGGCCCCAATCCAGCAAAGTACTTTAGCATGTGTGTAACTGTAAACACATGGGATTACTTACATGCTAAAGTATGTGGGTCAGTTTGAGCACATGTGTAGTCCCTTGTGTTCACAGTTACACACATGCTAAAGTGCTTTGCTGGATTGGGGCCAGAGTGGTCAACATCTTCAGGTCTGAGATGATATGGGCATGTCTATACCATATCCTCCCAGCCTGAGTAGACAGATTTGCACTAGTGGGGCTCAAGCTAACACACTAAAAACAGTGGATGTTGTTGTTTGGGCTGCAGTTCGGGCTCTCAAGCCTATGGGGTCGGGCCAGCTTCAAAGCTTAGGCTGCAGCCCTAGCCACAACATCCATACTGCTGTTTTTGGCGAGCTAGCTCAAGCCTTGCTAGTACAAGTCTGTCTACCCAGGCTGGGAGGCTCACTTCCAGCTGCAGTGTAGACATACCCTATGATAGCAAGAGTATTAAAAGGATAAATATCCCCCAAAGATGGTTGTTTTTATATTACTCTTTGTCATGTGCACAACGGTCTCCAGCTATGTTGACAACAGTATCATGTCTCCTAAAGCTGTTTCAGAGTCCTGACTATGAGTCGAGCTGATTCCAGTGTCAGAGTCCGTATCATTTATGTCTACATTAATCACTTTATGAACAAAGTCTGGCACTGCGACACACTTGCTGGAAACCTCGCTGCCTTTTGCCTGCTCTTCATTAGCTGGACATCTGGATTCAATTTTGTCTTTGATATGCAGTGAATTAAATTCTTCCACAAGGAGTTCATATTCTTTTTCCTTCTTTTGCAGTAGCAAGTCCCTGTAGGTAAGCTCTTTCTGAATGCAGCTCAAGTGAGAGTGGATTCTCAAGCCATCTTTCGTACTTTTTTCCAACTCATGTTTGACACTTTCTAAATTTGAGGATTCTAGTTGGCCATTTAAGGCCTCTGCCATGCATTTACCATCTCCATTTGTTTCAGTGCATACACCTTTTACCTCTTTTTCAATTTCAGCACAGAGCTTTTCAATTAGTAGTTCGTGATGTTTCAGTCCTTCTTCCATCTGTAAAATTCCATCACTTTTGCTCAAGTATTCATGCATCTGATGTTGACCATGTGGCACATTTGTTTGTTGCTCAGCATCATTTGGAGTGGCCATTAAATAAGAATCCTGCACATAATTTTCTCCATCATTTTCTACCTGAACTAGGTGGAATTTGGCTTCACATTTTTCAATTTCCTTATCCAATTCCTTCATTCTGTTGACTTGCTGATGAATGGTATGATCTTGGGAAATGATCAGATGAATCAATGTCTCCATATTGTCTCGCTCTTGCAGAGTATGGTCCTGTTTAAGTTTGGCCAGTTTCCTGAAAGTCTTTCTAACAATCCTCTTTTGCTTATCCACTGGCAACAACTTCATGTAATTTGCTGGGCTGAGCTCCCATTGTCTTCCTATGTTTTGTACTATCTTTGCTTCAGCCGTCCTCCATAACGGAAATGAGAGGAAAGCATCTGACTTCACCAGAACAAAGTGCAAATTGGGCTGCTCCTCTCCCCAGGCCTTCCAAAGTCTCAGCATTTTTGTCAGCGGGGGAAGGACCCGCTCAGAGCCTCTCCATTTTTCTATGATACAATAATCACTAGGTTGTCCAAAAAGAAACCGTTTTTCTCCAAATGTAGCTTGATGTTCCTCTAGTAGAGCTTGGATCACATCAGCACAGGTTGTGCGCTTTGTCAGTCCACACACAATTTTCTCCTCCTGGCATACCCAAACCACTATCTCCCTTTCATCAGAAGCCATGTTCTTGTCTGGAGATCTAAAATAAGGAAACATCAATATGAGTTACGTCAGTGGCATGCAGTGTGTGAATCAAAATGACAATCCATTTATCCTTGATATAAACTGCCAAATGGTGGACAAACCTCCCATACTCTTAAAAAAAAATTTAAAATCCTAAAATGTAAATGGAGAGAACACCGGCCTACCTGCCTCTCTGTCACTGGACCAAAGGGAAAGAAATACCAACCTACTTGAATTTTAGCTCAACTACAAATCCAAACATCTTTTTCAGATTCTTATATATTAATTTTAAAACCCTGTCCCACCCTTTTCTCTGAATGCCTGGGTGCAATTCACTTAAAGAGCAGAAGTATAGATTAATATAAAGTCCTATTCTAATTGTATTATGCTCCCAGCTGGATCAAGGAATACTGGGAATCTCAGAAGAAAGTCTTTTATCACAAGATAACAGTATAATTTGTAGATAATACAGGTTCAGAAGCTTGGGATAAACATCCAGATTTTTTTGAATGAATCACTAAACCACCACGAATCATGTGAACCCTACAGGAGATAAAATAATAAGAAATATTGTGATGCTGAGACAAATCTGCAGTCCCTTTGCCCCATATCATCGTAGCGCTGCCAACTCTCATGAATTTTATTGAAAGTCTCGGTGATATACAGTGTTTTTCTTAAAGCCCTAGATCATGTATTCAAATGATTATGGGAGAATCTCAGCTTTCATGAAAAAAAATAAATTAAAAAAAAAAAATCTAGCTCTTGTGGTTGTGGAGAAAAGCATCAAAATGTGACCTGAGTGAATGTTAAAGGGTCCAAAACCAAAACGCAAATAAAAAGAACCCCAAGCTTATTGAAAATGAAAAAACCCAACTCTACCCCGCCCCCAAAAAACCCCACCAAAAACCCCACTCATCATTTTTACACCCATTTTGTGATTTGTGAGGGGGTGACTTATGATTTCCAAATGCTTGAGGTTGGTAATACTGTACATCACCAGCAGAGATGTGGCATCTCCGAAGGATTGCACCTATTGATGCAGAGCTGTCATAGAGGCATCTATAACTCCACTCCTCCCTGCTGCCAGTGCAGGCAATGTGGTGAAGAGGAATGGCCAGTACACCACTACACTGAGCAGATGTCCAGGATTAATTCCATTAAACTGCTTCAGTTTATATCTGACAGTGGCCCCAGAGTCAGAAAAGAACCCCCCATGTAGCCTAGCCACACCCAAGGATCTGGCCCATTGTTTAGCTCTAGGTACATCCTCTGAGCAAAATACATTATTTTGAATCTTCTCTTGTATTCTCTGTAGATTCAAATGAACGAGCTTTAATCCACTTCCATGTAGAAAGCTTGAAAAATGCAGGGATAATGGAAACGTGGTCGACATATAAAGTATTGGATTCTACAATAGTTAGCATTTCAGACTGAGTCACAGTATTTTTCAAGGCTCATGTGCCATAGCAGGATTAGAGCCTAATCTGGATTCATTAGTGCTTTCATACATGCTTATTAAAACATTTCTGCTAGTTTCATTTTTTAAATTATTACCCTGTTTGGGAGATTAAATGTAATCCAAAAACTTGAATTGTGATTGACTGAGCTCTGTATGGAGGCAAGATGCCTCAAGAGACTGGGGTTAGTAACGGACTACAAATGTAACATATAGTAAATATCTTATTTCTGTTATATAGTACAAGAGAACTCTGTTCAAATGCAGTGTTACTCTTCTACTGGAACATTCTTGTGTAAAATTCATACTTTGCTAAATAAGTCTGTGTGGTAAAATCACAGGTTCTTATTTCAACAGGTCCCATTTAAAAGATCAGTGATTTACTGTAATTAATTTAAGCAAATCAGAGTTTCCAACAGATTACTGAAGCATATAGTGGGCATTAAAAATCCCAGATAACAAAGATCAAGAAATCATTAAGGCATGGGTCTCTACTAAAAACCCAAAACACAACACAATGAGAAAACATTAGATCAGTTGACATTACTGTTGAATGTGTCACAGGCCACAAAGTCAATATCTGTCACCTTTTAGTAGGTTTACACAGCACAGGATATCATAAAAATGTTTTTACTTGTTGATAGATTAGTAGTTAAATGAAACTAACAGGAATAGACTATTGCAACAGAGTTCAGCTACAATGGTCAACAAACAATGTTTGCTTTAAGCTAGAGTATGCACAAAGAAAAATCCAGAATGGAATATCGAGTTACTGTAGGAGCTAGGTGTCAAGTAAAGATTACACAAATTAATATAATCGTTATCAAATGTACCTGATAGTTGCTCAAATAACTACACCAGCTGCTGATAAAGAAATAAGTGAAAGAGAAATCAAATGTAATTTATCAGTCTATGATTTTCAAAGTGGAAAAAAGCTGATAGGCAAACAAAAATGAAATAGGTGCACACACGTATAGGTGTAAGAAACAATATACTGGTATCTCGGCTGAGGTAATTGCTTTATAGGATCTGCCCCTCTGTTTCTTTATAACACCACATCGGGTATCAGTCATGCACAGTAGATCATCACCCTCTTCATTTAGTTGCACTTATAGAATCATAGAAATGTAGGGCTGGAAGGGACCTCAAGAGGTGATGTAGTTCATCCAACTGCTCTGAGGCAGGACAAAGTAAACCTAAACCGTGTCTTACAGATGTTTGTCTAATCTGTTCTTAAACACATCCAGTGATGGTGATTTACAATCTCCCTTGGAAGCCTATTCCAGAGCTTAACTATCCTTAGAGCTAGAAAGTTTTTCCTAATATCTAACCTACATCTTCTTCTTGTCCTACCTCCAGTGGACATGGAGAACATTTGATCACAGTCATCTTTGTAACATCCAATAACATACCTGGAGACTTACCAGGTTCCTCCTCAGTCTTCTTTTCTCAAGACAAAACATGCCCACTTCTTTCAACCTTTCCTTAGAGGTCAGGTTTTCTAAACATTTTATCCTTTTGCTTGTTCTCCTCTGGACTCTCTCCAGTTGTCCCCTCTCCCCCATTTTTTTTTTAAAAGTGTAGCACCCAAAACTGGACTTAATACCCTAGCTGAGGCCTCCCCAGTGCTGAGTAGAGACATGCAATGCTCCTGTGAATACATTCCAGCAGAATATTAGCCTTTTTGCAACTGTTAGTCTCTAAGGTGCCACAAGTACTCCTGTTCTTTTTGTAACTCCCAGTACTTCTGGGAGTACTTTCTGCAGTACTACTGCCTCACCTGTTATTCCCCAGTTTGTTATAATAGTTCTTGCTTCCTTCCCCATTCTCCTTAGACTTTTATATAAACTCTTTGGGACAGGTATTCTTTTCATTCTTAATTTTTTGTTACAGTAAAATGTCATCTTTGTGCTCTCCGGTACACTGGAAGTATGTGCCAGATTATATAAACTACGCAAAAGTTCTCATTCTTCTCCTCCTTCTTCTTCTCTCCTCCCCCCTCCCCCCAACTACTTTAAAGGCTACCTAGCAAGTCTTGGCAGGTATGAACCCATGAGGTTAGCAAAACTTCAAGTAACCTTAAAATGTCTGTAGGTACAATGTACCAGTAGACACTTAAAACTATACCCTGCCATCAGTTTTTACATAGAACTCTTACTGGCTTCACCAGAAGTTCAACAAGCAGACTGATGGAAAGATACTGCTGACATTAGAAAATCCCAATAGAACCCCAAGAGGCAATGTAGAAAATTGTGACTAGCTAGCTATTCTGACAGAGAAAATAAAACATTGACAATGTAAAATAAGGTCTTCTGGAGTTATAGTTTCGAATCTGTTTTTCAAGTATCCCATCCACCCACCTTTAACTGTAAGCTCTCTGGGGCTGTGACGGTCTTCTTGTTCTGCTTATACAGTGCCGAGCACAGTGGGGTCCTAGTCCATGACTGGGGCGCTTATATACTACTGCAGTACAAATACATAAATAAAATAGTAACAGTAATAATAGTACCACCTTTTAAATAAAAGTGGGGGGAGGGAGAGAGAAAGAAGAAAAATTCATAGGCTTGGATATAATCCTTGCATTAAAACTAGATTGCTCAATGATGGGTTTAGTTACAATGTGCATTAGTATCATTTGTTTTTAATTAGATTTCACTGTATTTTTTCTGCTTTCACGTTTTAATTGAAGAGAGTCACATCTCACATTATAGTACTATACAAATATTTTATTTATATATACATAGAAATCTCTTCTTTGTGGCTATTTTCATTTTCAGTAGAGTGTGCTGATACAATTTAGCACATCATATTGGCCTTTCAGGAAAAAAATAAATAAATCTTTAATTGTAATTAATCCAATTAATACCGAACAAGACTGCTATGAACCTGGCTTCTTGTCAGTCACAGCATAACATAATTCTTACAGAGGCTCAGTCATTTTCAATATCAAAAAAGTATTTAATATTAGAAATGGCCTCTCATTACATCATGCTTTGCTTCAGAAGTGGGCTTCTTCCCACTGAACATTTAGGGAGAGGTTCTGCTTTATATTTTTCCAGCCTCTTTGTGCCACTCAGGAAGCTCAAGGGGGCCAGAATCTGGCAATAGCTGGTCATCAGAAAATTCCCCTGATGGAGGGAAACTACCCACTGCAGACTGCCCTAGCACCAACATCAGCTACCATGCAATTGCCCGTGCAGAGGAGAAAATGTTCCAGTTTGGAATGAAAACAAATTTCAAAATCTCAATTATTTTTGTAGAATGGAAATTCCATTTGTTGGCCAGCAATAGAAAATACGTATGGAACTACAAGACCAGCAGGAAAAGTAGATTAACAAACATTTTAACATTGATTCTGCTTTAATTTGAGCTTCGGGAATTTGCAAAGAGCCAAGCTTATGGTGCCCTATGCTGAAGTCCTCATTCAGGTGAAATTCCCACTGAACTCAATGGGATTTTTGCCAGCATAAGAATTAAATTATACGACTATAAGGGATGGTCCTAGTATGGAAACCCAGGTCAAAATCTCCCATATGTTGGGGACCAATTGGATTTCTGGT